CTACAACTTGTCACAGAGGATCGACACGCCACTCCTCGGGCACCTGGGTCGGCCCGGCCCTGTCGCCCCTAACGTGCTGCAGAGTCTGCAGCTCGGCAGGATGAGATAATCGAGGGATTGCGAGACTTCGAGGAGGAGGAGCTAGAGGCACAGCAGGAGGTGAGTGAGTACTGATGGCAGCTCGGCGACGACTACCCACTTATACCTCAGATGCCTCCACGCGAACACGATGCAGAGGCGAGTAGCTCGATTCTGCTCCACCTGCTCATGCATGCAGACCCGCTCTCATTGCTATTCTTGAGCGGATGTAGCAGATCGCACACAGCGAGCATGAGAGACGGTGCCAACTTCGCTCGATTCCAGCTCGTCAGGGCGAGTTTCATTGGCAAAGCAGCAGCTTCTTCAAGACACCAAGCGATTACTTATGCAAAGAAGCTCATGGGATTCATGCGGCATGTAGTGAGCGGCTATTGGGGTCCCCCACATGACCTTCGCCCCGACTTGCACGACCTCCCACCACTGACGACTCCAAAGAAGACAACCCGGTGGGCTTCAGAGTCGAGGACAGCCTCCGGCTCGGTTTCCTTCACCTCCTCAGACAGTGTCCCAGTGGTTAGCCTCACTGGTGTAGCCCCATGATTCACTCCTTATCACACGGGTTTCTCACCAGAGCGATCTTCCTCACTATTCGTGCACGAGTCGCCGGTCTCCAGAGTCTTGGAGCATCATTGGTGAGTTGACCGGCATGCCTACTACGCCTCACATGCATGCTTGCCGGTCCGTCTCACAAAACAGCTCCGGCTATCATGACTACTCAGAGGCTCCCTCCTCGTCGTGTCCCGTCGAGATCCCACGACAGATATACTTGCTTGCACTTCACAGGCGGCCTGGCCCACTCGAGACCAGACCGTTTCAATGACACTTCCCGCCTTCAGAGGGTCGGTCGATTCAGAGCTCAGTGGTCGATGATGATGGCACCGGTTCCATCTTGCTCCACGTACTTCAAATGGCCCAACTCGTCTGCTGCAGCCCCGCCGTCAACCCCTAGGTTTTGGTGTTTGACGCCAAAGGGGGAGAGGGTTTGAGTATGTAGACTTAGGGGGAGCGAGTTTTAGGGGGAGCTAGTTATCCAGTATTAGCCTATTATATACATTTGGACTTTTATTTGTGTGATACACTATTACTTATGCATTCGTGTGTTTACTTTCATGCATACTATTATTTATATGTGATAGTGCTATCTACGTGATTGTGATATTTGACATGTGTGACTTATACTTTGCTTTATCTATATGTCATATCACTTGTGTGATGCTCATTTGATTTTGCTTCCGCGTTTATACTTTGAAGCAAATGAGCTTTGTTATTTGTACTCATGCTTAATCCATATTCTTTGAGTACATTGTGTTGGCTTGGGTCATATAAGCTTGACTAACTCTTTTGTTCTTATTGACAAAAGCTTATATGAACCAAGCCCGTCAAAAACCTCACTCCATAACATACTCGAGGTGGTGTTGTCATCAATCACCAAAAAGGGGGAGATTGAAAGCATCTAGGCCCCTAGTTGGATTTCGGTGATTGATGTCAATACAAGATTACTATGACTAACGTGTGTTTTGCAGAGGCAATTAAGTTAGGTCATGGTAATGGAGATCGATTGGGCAATTGAGGTTGTCATGCCCCTACGATGGAAATCGTTTCGGTTTTCAAAGGATGGACGACAAGGTTAAGGATAACTAGTTCTAAGTGTCAATTGAAGTTGGAGAGACACTTAGAGTAGTTTAGGACTTTGTTTTTTTCCTTTGGCCGCATTACTATGAAGGGGGTATGAACGGGTAGCTTGACCTAGTTAAGTCTAGTGAGTTAGGTGTGGTGCACACTTGTTTAAACTAGCTCTAGGTAGCTCCTATGAATGCCTAAGATCTTTTGGAGCAAAATTCATTCACATATATTCGGAAGTTGGAAGTGAATGGAGGGTCAAACTTGACCCGACAGACGGCTGGCTCCGGCGATCGGACGATGGCCGCAGGTCCGGTCGATTCATTTGATTGAGGTGAACAAGTCCGATGTGACCGGACATTTGGAAGGTCATGTGACCGGACGCCGAGGACCGGCGTCCGGTCGACTCGATGAAGGTCCAGACTTGAAAAAGAGTGACCGGACGCGTCCGGTCGGTCTTGACCGGACCACGAGGGTTCAGCGTCCGGTCGACTCGAAGAAGGTTCGATAAAGGGTTTTATGCGACCGGACGCGTCCGATCAGTGCTGAGCAGGACCTGCCGTCGTCCGGTCGACTCTTTATCTTGGTTCGCTGGGTTGAACTGACCCGGAGCGTCCGGTCATCACGATCGGAGCGTCCCGGTCGTCCGCGAAGCTCATAACGGTTCGTTTTTTCAGTGGCTTATAAATAGAAGGTCCACTCGTGAGTGGAGAATCTTTGCTCATTCCAACAACGGTGAGAAACACGTTTGTGAGTGCCAAGAAGAGCAAGGTCCTAGTGAGGTGTTTGTGATTTGAGAATCCAAGAGAGTAGCCTCACTAGCAAATCAAGAGTAGCAAAGTGTGCATCCATCTTCTCATTAGGCTTCGCGTGGTCAAGTGAGAGTTCGTGCTTGTTACTCTTGGTGATCGCCATCACCTAGACGGCTTGGTGGTGATTGGGAGTTTGGTGTTCACCCGGCGGAGCTTGTGGGTGACCCAACTCAAGTTGTGAGCGGTTTTGGGTGATTCGCCGCGATGGAGTGTCGAAGAATCAACCCGTAGAGAGCACTTGATCCTTGCGCGGATCAAGGGGGAGCTACACCCTTGCGAGGGTGCTCCAACGAGGACTAGTGGGGAGTGGCGACTTCGATACCTCGGCAAAACATCGCCGCGTTCCTTTCTCTCTCTATTTACGTTGAGCACTTACTTTGAGTATTTACTTTGAGCATTTCAATACTTGTCTTACATCCATAGAATTGCTTGCTAGAGTAAGTTTGGAACGTTGGTTGCGAGGTTGTTGTGCATCAGTTTAATATAAACACTTTTTAGGCACAAGGGGTTAATTGGGCTATCCGTAGGATTTGATTATTGCAAGAAAATTTAGAATTAGCCCAATTCACCCCCCCTCTTGGGCATCTTGATCCTTTCACTTTGGACACGCTTTGTTGAGACCCATGTAGTCAACACACATTCTCTATTTCCCACTCTTTTTTCGTATAAGAACGGGATTGGCTAACCACTCGGGGTGGTATACTTCCTTGATGAACCCGGCCACCAAAAGCTTCGCAATCTCCTCGTCGATGGCCCTGTGTTTCTCCTCGTCGAAGCAACGCAGGCGCTGCTTCACTGGCTTGGAGCCTGGCCTGATCTTCAAGGCGTGCTCGGTGACTTCTCTTGGAATGTCTGGCATGTCTAAGGGTCTCCACACAAAGATGTCTCTATTGGCGTGGAGAAATTCGATGAGCGCGCTTTCCTATTTGGAGGAAACCGTGATGCCGATGTGCACCACTTTGCCCTCAGAGCCATTGGAGTCTATGACGACCTCCTTGGCGCCCTCTACAGGCTCAAAAAACTCGGCCGACGGGTTGGGGTCGGGCACTTCTTCGACGACCTCCTCCCTGATGGCTGCAAGCTCTTTGGAGGCGACAATTGCCGCAGCGTGTTCGCAGCACTCGACCTCGCACTCGTAGGCACGCTAGAAGAAGGTGTCGATGGTGATGACCCCACATGGACCCGACATCTTCAACTTTAGATAGGTGTAGTTGGGGACAACCATGAACTTCGCGTAGCATGGACGTCCTAGGATGACGTGGTAGGTCCCGTGGAACCCAATCACCTCGAAGGTAAGGGCCTTCATCCTATAATTGGTTGGATTTCTGAAGGTGATGGGCAGATCAATCTGCCCAAGTGGCACGGCCTGCTTTCCAGGCATGATGCCGTGGAAATCGCCCCGGCCGCCTCCTCGCCCAAGGCGTGGCTGGTGGCGATGTCGAGGAGCTCCTTGGTGGTTCGCGAGCCCTTACGTCCTAGCTTGTGAACCAGGGACTCACAGGTGGTCCCAGACAGGAAAGCTCCTATAACGTCGGCTTCGGCGACGTCGGGTAACCCGTTGCATTGCCGGGAGAAGCGTCGGATGTACCCATAAAGAGTTTTCTCGGACTTCTGTTGGTAGTTTTTAGATCCCATTGGTTCCCAGGATGCGCATATATGTCCTGGAAGTTTCCTACGAAGATTTCTTTTAGATCCGCCCAACTTTAGATTTGGTTGGACGGAAGGTGTTCCAATCATGTTCGCGCCGAATCGGCCAGAAATAATGGAAGGTTATGGATAATGAAATTGTCACTATCCGCTTCACCGGCTTGGCAAGCATGTCGATAATCCTCGGGCCACAATCCGATGTTTGTTTCTCCGGAGTATTTTAGGAAGTTGGTCGGCGGTCGGTACCGCGGTGGGAAGACAACGTTGAGGATGTGTCGGCCAAAGGCCTGAGGTCCCGACAAGTCAGGGCTCGGGCTTCGGTACTTGCCGCTGTTGTAGCGTCCGCCACGACGAGGGTGGTAGCCGCGGCTAGCCTCCTCCCTCTCATCGCCACGGGCATGCCTGTGGACATCCACGGTGTTGCGCACATCACGGTGAAGACCGAGACGCTCATGCACTGGGACCATGGCGCGCGGCCTGTCGCCTCGCTCATGCTCAAGTAGAGATCATGCTGATTTGGCATATCGCAACTGACTACTGTCATCTTTCTCCGAGCAGTGGGAATGGGAGCAGTCCAGACCGATATGTTGCAGTTACATTGTCTAGATATTGTGCCTACTTGCTGGCATTTGTCCCGCAACTGCTTCCATACCATGAAGCGGACATAAAAGAGTTGATAGATACGGTGAAGAAAGAAATAGCTAAAGATTTGCCATCCTCTGGGGCGCCTTCAGAAAGGTATCAAAAAATGAAGGAATTAGGAGACAACCCTCCGACAGTCTTCAGGAAAGGCGTGAAGCTCGGCAAGCAGCTTGAGGACACATGCCGGATGAAGCACAGCGTTGGAAGGCAATGGCAGATTTCTGGGCCAAGACGATCATCTACATTGCGCCCTCGCACATTACTGCCAAGGAACACATGCGACAGCTTGAGAATGGTGGGGAGTTCCTGACCCATGTCTGGGCCCTGCTTTCTCACGCTGGCATCCTGAACCTCGTCAGAGACGACGACGAAGTAGCAAAGCCTGCTCAAGCTCAACCTACCCAAGAAACTGTGTGATTCAAGTCATCAGCGGACCAGCCTTCGTCGATCGCCGCCCACTTCACTTCAGGTTTTCGTGAATCTTGTGTGTTTGCCTTTAGGCTGGCTGATTCGTGTAACAATAATATGGATATTATCTGAACATTTGTGTTTGCCTTTAGGCTGGCTGATTTCCCTTTGTTTTCTACTATACAAAAATTGCCTAATCCGAGATCTTGTAACGGCAAAATGTCTGACTTTTGTGTTTGATAGCGCTTTTGCAGAATTACATTCAGTTCGAAACGTGTATCATGTCATCAGTGGGGCAATTAAATTTCTCACACGCTGGCCCTCTCTTGCGGCTACTGGACCTGTCAAACAGGTGATGTCAGTATGTGGATGCCTACTGCTCGCGGGCAGGTGGGCCAGTCAAATTATACTCGTTGAGAAAAGAGGAGTAATTAATCGATCAAACAAGTGAAAGAATTCTTAACTCTTGTTATTGCTGAGGCCATTCCAATGCATGTTAGTGTCACTACAAAGGATCAAGGCAAAATTTTGTTGTGTATCAGTGTCTGTTAGTGTGCAGCTGCAGTGCTACTCGTCACTTGTGCACCAGCTGCTCCACATCGCCGAGCTCCAGCTCCCGCCGGTCCTCGCCGCCGCTACCGCCACCAAACAGAGATTCGATCTGCTCCAGTGTCTTGCCGCTGGTCTCTGGCACGAACTTGTGCACAAAGAGCACCGAGAGGGCAGAAATGGCCGCGAACGCGGCGAATGCGCCCGAGACGGAGATGGCGCGGCAGATAGAGAGGAATGACATGGCCACCGCGCCGCTGGTCACCCTGTTGGCCACGGCCCCCAGCGCCGCGGCCTGCGAGCGCAGTCGCAGCGGGAAGATCTCGGAGCTCACCACCCAGCAGATGGGCCCTATCCCCACCGAGAAAAAGGCCACGTCGCCGCACACCGTCAAGATGGCGACACCAACACCGGCGCCGCGGGACACCGACCCACGCGCCTGCAGGAAGAGCGCGGCGGACAGCGCCGCCAGGCAGGCGGTCATGCCGACCGTGCTGACGTACAGCAGTGGCTTCCGGCCGACACGGTCGATTAGCACGATGGCCAGCGCGATGAACGCCGTCTTGAAGAACCCGACGGCGACCGTGGCGGCGAGGAGCTGGCGCTCGGTGGTGATCCCGGCGTCCCGGAAGATGGTCGGGCTGTAGTACACCAGCGCGTCGATGCCCGTGATCTGCTGGAAGCACTGGATGCCTACTCCGGTGACGAGCATCCGGGCGATCACCGGGGATGGCCTCGACAGCTCCTGCCACACCGTCTTGTTCCTGTCGCCGTAATTGCCATTGCCGGCGGCGCCCGTGGCGGCGGCCGCAGCAGCAGCCTCGATCTCGGCGAGCCTCTCCTTAGCCTCGTCCTCGGTGTCGGTGACCCTGAGGAGCACGGCGCGCGCCTCGTCGGCCCTGCCCTGCATGACCAGCCACCGCGGCGACTCCGGGATCACGAGCAGCGCGAAGGCGATGGACACGGACGGCAGGATGCCAACGGCGAGCATGACACGCCAGTTGATGTGGTCGGGGAGCCCTGAGAAGGCGTAGTTGGAGATGTACCCGAGGAGGATGCCGAGGTTGATGAAGATCTCCGGGAAGGATGTGAACGAGCCCCTGGACCCCGCGGGGGATATTTCAGCGATGTACACCGGCGCGATCATGACGCCGAACCCGATGCCGATGCCGGCAAGCAGGCGGCCCACCATGAGGACCCGGAATGACGGGGCCAGCGTCATGACGGCCGCGCCGGCCTGGAAGACGACGGCGGCGAGGCCGATGGTCCACTTCCGGCCCATGGCGTCCGATGTCCTCCCGCCAGCGAGGCTGCCGAGGAGGGAGATGAAGCTAAGGCAGCCCACCAGGACCTCCTGCTGCACCTCGTTGATGTGAAGATCCCTCTGAATGAACAGAATGCAACCGCTCATCACACCAACATCTGACATTTGGGTGTGAATTATGAAACTTCGTTAGCAAACTAACCACTAACAATGACAGTTTATAAGAAGCAGCAGCCATTGTCTAGGGTGCAAAATGTCAACGCGATTCAGCGCTAACCATCTCCAAATCCTACGCACAGTCGGTCGCCAAGAAACTCTAGGAAAAGCTCAATTAAGGTCGAATTTTTTGTCCTCTACTACTTTCAATCCAAGAACTGGCTGCAGAAGTCGTCCAAGTCGAGAAGAAGAAACTTACCGTAGCCGAGCAGCACGGAGTTGAGGGAGGCGAAGACGGAGCAGGCGAAGACGTATCTCCTGCTGCTCTGGCGCTCACGGACAAGGACGCCGCCGTCCTCGCCTTCCTGCTCAGGAGGGAGCACGTCGTCCATGCGCATGTACTTGTTCTTCCTGCCCAAGAAGTCCGGCAGGGTCGGCAGGCCACTGGCGCCGCCGCCGCCGTTGGACGACGACAGCTCGGCGCTCGGAAGCATCATGCTCTGCTCCGCCTTCCCGAGCTTTCTTCCCAGCTCTCAAATCGCAAGAGGTAATTTCGATGCCTCTTGGATGGTGCTAGTAGTGGACTAGGCAATGGTGGATCTGACGACGAAGCAGGAAGAAGATTTTAATAGGTTCATCGTGTACTTTTCGCGACGCGCGATTTGGTCGTCGTTCAACTCATCGCGTTGGGGTACGCGTTTTAAAATGGGGTGTCTTTCATATAAGCCCCTTCATTCGCAGTGATTTTTGAACCAATACTTCCAGCGGAGCAGTATGTGATTTTCAAATGGAACCTATTTTGGACTCTCGCAGTGGCAACTAATCCATTCGTTCCAAAAAAAAACATACCATTCTTGGTTTTTAAAACAGTTTTAAATTTGATCAAATCTATACACAAAAATCACTAATTATAATACCGAATAAACCTTATATTAGATTAATCATGTAATATATTTTCATAGTATACTTATTTAGAGTCACAAATGTTAATATATTTTAAGTTTGACAAGATCCAAACCCAGAATTGCATCTTTTGGGACAAAAGCAGTAGTACAACAGGATTAGTTAGCAGGTCAGTTCGTCAATCAAGGACGTCAAATACGAACCAGAAATCGTTTGACCACACACCCATAAGCTAAGCCGGTGAGCATACTCCAATACTGATTGACTGTATTTCAATCATTCAGTACCAAAACTTACAAATATACTGTAGTACATAATTGGAAATACGAAGACCTACAATCATTGAGCACTGCCTATTGAGGATGTACAACTAAAAACCATTGACACATATTAGCGGCTTGCTCTGATATGACGTCATCTCACATGTTAAATTTTCTGTATCATATTGATGTATGTGTAACTCGAGAACATGACAAACAATCTCCTAAACCTGCAAAGACACATAGAATGTGTTGATTATCTTCAATTCAGAAAAGAGAATCCCTATATTCGAGAAAAAAAAACATTCCCTAACTACTAAGTTAAACATGGCCCCTATTGTTTCCTGATACAGGAAAGGTGTAGAGAGATGCCATCAGGGACAATATATTGGCGGCAATCAGCAAGTCAGTGACTCATTATATGTTGGCCATGATATATTGCGAGGAACTACATAAATATGATGCAATCAGAAACTTCGTTATGAACTTATAGAGGCTATAAGTGGATTGATCTCCAGCGCTCTATTCAAGTTGGCAGAAACAATGCTTTCTCCATGAAAATGCAAATATGATACTCTTAGACTTACCAAACCCACTGACTTCTGTGTGCAGCCATTGCTTCATAGCTTCTGGACGGGCTACTGTTAACTAGAGTATAGATTGACTGCTTTGACCTTGTGAAGGAGATGAACGAAGAAAGCCAAATGTCAACCGGACCACTGTACTTGCGAAGAATATTCAGGCTTGCCTGCATTTAGAAATAATCCAACATCGATCATCTTTCCTCCACACTAATGTGTTCTTCCAGCAAGAAAAAACATGGTACAATCAAGACCCCCCAAAAAAAAAGGTAAAGTAAAAATAAGGTGACCATGAAGTTTAGCAATACAGAAATGATGTTCATTCATAAAATAGCAAAATCTCTGAAAAATATATATTATAAAAAAAACTAAGTCATCTACCAAAAGGAGTTGGCAATGTAGGCTGTAACATTATAGTTTATGCATTTCCGATTCCAAGAAAAATTAAGAGTTCCGTAGCTTCAGCTAAACATAGCACTGACAAAGTCAACAAAGTAACACACATATTCTCTTCCTCATAAAGTGAAAATCGGTTTGAGAAGTAAATCCAAATAATAAGGCTGTCGAAGGATTTAAGGGAAGAAACTTACTAGTTCCCAAGCTTCCACATTCCCCTGCCTGTTCGCATGGAGAAACTTGCTGTTCATATAGAAATAAAGTTTTTTAGACTCTGAGTGATAAAAATACAAAACTATCTCATAAATGTGATATGCATATGTGTAGTACAAAAAATGAACAAGTAAATGAAATGAGAAGAAGCTGTGCACAGTCAAAGAACAACAGTCCTGATGCCCAACATACCAGAATCCCAATGTTAACAAACAATTTCAGTGATTCATGCATGTGGCTAATCATGCAGTGTTATACCAGATAACTGAACTAACCATATGCCGTGATGAACATCTTTGTGGTTTGGATGGCCTGATACTCCATATGAATCAAATGTCACGATCTAAAATGGCATCAAATATTGCATCAGTAAGCTGCGGCCGTCAAAGGAAGAAAAAAACTAGAAATTTTTTTAGGTATGTAGTAAATGAAGGTAAAGGCATAAAGCAACTGAATATGGTATAGAGTACTAAGTGACTATAATTTGTTAAGATTATCAGATTGCAAGGATTCATTCTCAGGATTTTTAAGCACAGTTCGCAAACTGTAGTCACAAGTGTCTTTTCTTAAGAAAAGAAGTGATAATGTTAGAACAAGCATAACCCCAATATATGTCATTTACTAAATTATTCAGGAGAAGTAAACAAAAAGGAGAACTGATGACTTGGTGAGAATTCCTTTGTAAAC